TTCAGTGGCCTTCTCACCCGATGGGCGTACTCTGGCATCAGGCTCGCGCGATAGTACTATTAAGCTCTGGGATATAACGACTGGCATAGAGCGCCAGACCCTCAAGAACTATTCAGGTTGGGACAACGGCTATCCAGGTTGGGTCAATACAGTGGCCTTCTCACCCGATGGGGGCACTCTGGCATCAGGCTCGGGCGGTAGTACTATTAAACTCTGGGATACAACAACTGGCACAGAGTACCAGATCCTCGAGGGCCATACAGATTCGGTCAATTCAGTGGCCTTCTCACCCGATGGGCGCACTCTAGTATCAGGCTCGCGCGACAAAACTATCAAGCTCTGGGATATAACAACTGGCATAGAGCGCCAGATCCTTAAGGGCCATTCGGATTCGGTCCAGACAGTTCTGAATGAACCTACTTCTCACTTACAGGTATGCCTGTCGAATACTTGGATCTCTTCAGAAGGCGAGAATTTGCTGTGGCTCCCTGCTGAATATCGTTCATTTCATTCTTATGCGGTCAAAGACACTACAATTGCGTTAGGGTATGACAGCGGGCGGGTCTGTATAATAGGATTCCACATCGTAGACTAGTATCACTTAAGTCTCTTCTTTTCTATTGTCTTTGTAAAAGGAGAGCCTCGGATATCTCGGAATTATATATAATTTTTTGCCTTTGTAAATAAGACCTATCTAGTGTTTTGTAGGTAATTCCGTAGGTACGGCCAATTTGCCACTTACTCTTATTCCAGATGTTTCCGAGCCAAGGGACAAAAGCCGAAATTACTGGGATATTATATGTAATCTTACATGTCAGTACAGGACGCAGTACTAGTCGGGAGAATTATTATTCTATTCCATTCCAAATACAGCCTAGCTTAGTTTCATACTAGGGTTACTGAAACAATCAAAGAGTGTAAGTGGTGACACCGGTTTCCGGACGCCCTGTATAGGCGGGCAAAATTTGATAGCGTTGATCTCGGTGGAACTTGGAAATCTGAACTGGTGTTACACCAAAAGGGGACCAGCCGGTTCGCCGAAACCTGCCCTCTTATCGCAACCCGACTCATCTACGTAGACCTGCTGATATGATGAATAACGAGGTAGGCGGTGCAGGTAGTAATCTCGTAGGTCTACATTTTGTTCCCTCGCGATTTGCCGAGCTGCCTTTCTCGACCATCCCACAAAAAGACTGCCATCTCATCCTGATACAGTTGGAGTCAAAACTGCTGTCATCCCCCTATACTCTTTGATTATTATTCGAACCCTAATGCCAAGCGCCCTAGTCTGAGATAGGAAACGAACCGAATTGATGTGTTTTCATGATGCTGTACCGTATAGTATGTCTGTATTGTATTACCGAAGCTCATGTATCTTACATGTATAGATTATACAGGCACAACCTTTGTTACCCACCATGATGTTCCCTACGGATAATCTCCTAACGATCAATCGTACCACACGAATACGATGGCACCCAACCTGGCGTCTTCGAGCCGATTCTTAATTTTTATGCCAATTGTACTTTGGCTCCTTGTATAATATATCGAATATAATTTGCCGTACTAAGGCTGCAGCGAAATGATTAACTAATTATAATAAACCTTGGCCTGTTAAGACGGATGCATTGATCCCGATCCCGAAGAGGGCATAGTAGGTATACCCTCTCAAAACCTCTTAAAATAATTATACAGCACCTTAGGCTTCTATTTTTTACTTTTTTTTTTTTTCTTTTCGCTTTAATTACTATGACTAGCAACATATCTGTCTCAGCAAGTTGATGGGACTTTGGGAGTTCGGTCATCTTGAGAAACTGGAGTTTTTGCTTGCGTGCTGTTGATACTCATCACTTTCTCTGTGTATTTTTTATATACGTATTCTCGAGACTATGATTGGCTTTTGAACCGCGACAGCCTCACAGCAACACGTACCAGATGACCCCTCAACTCCCAACCTCGATTTTTAACATACCCTGAAAGAATTTTATCCTGCAGTTCTAATATCTCCTGTAGGAGATACTCTTCTTCTCTAGCAAAGATTACGTGATTCCTTCTCGCTAAATTTCACCTCTTTATTGTACATGACATATAAAATGGTCGTCACACACCATGACTATACGGTCGCATGGATCTGCGCCTTGCCGCTGGAAATGGCGGCCGCGAAGGCTATGCTGGACGAGGTTCACCCTCCGCTCCCCCAGCCAGAAACTGATCACAATGTCTATATACTTGGGAGTGTTAGCAGCCACAATGTAGTGGTGGCCCCCCTGCCTTCCGGTGTGTACGGAACCATATCTGCCTCAACTGTGGTATCACACATGGTTTCCACCTATCCAAAAATCCGATTTGGGTTGATGGTGGGTATTGGTGGCGGAGTCCCGAGCCAAAGGGCTGACATTCGCCTTGGTGATGTGGTAATCAGTAAGCCAACTGCCACTTCAAGTGGTGTTATTCAATATGACTACGGCAAGACACTTCGTGACGGACGATTCCAGCACACCGGGTCTCTTAATAAACCGCCTTCGGTGTTGTTAAAAGCTATGTCTCAATTGGAGAGTGATTATATGACAGGGAAAAGGCCAGTTAGTAAGATCTTGATTAAAATACAGCACAAATGTGAAGAGATAAGAGAAAGATTTTCGCGACCGAAAGATGATTGGCTATTCCGACCGACATACAATCATAAGGATAGCGGACACAACTGTTCAGCATGTGATCACACCCAGCTAGTGAGCCGTCCAGAGCGAATAACTGATGGCCCTTATTTTCATTATGGGTTAATCGCTTCCGGAGATCAGGTCATGAAGGATGCCAAGACTCGAGATTCTATTGCTCAGGATCTCGGTATACTCTGTTTTGAAATGGAGGCTGCTGGGCTTATGGACGAACTCCCATCACTAGCTATTCGAGGCATCTGTGACTACTGTGATTCTCATAAAAATAAACAGTGGCAAGGATACGCGGCTCTTGCTGCTGCTGCCTACACGAAGGCTCTTCTATCAGTGGTTCCCACTCACTGCCACAAGAAGGAATCATATAAATCAAGAGAACCAGTTTGGATGGTTCCCTTCAGAAGAAACCCGCGATTCGTAGGTCGGGAAGAAGAAATTACCAGAGCTGAAGGATTGATTATGCAGCAGGACAGCCCTGGCAGGTTTGCTATCTGCGGACTAGGCGGAGTTGGGAAGACCCAGATTGCACTTGAATTAGCATACCGAATGCGAAATCGAGAACCTGAGTGTTCCATATTCTGGATTCAAAGTACCAGCTATGAGAGTGTGGAGCAAACCTATATGAGCATCGCCTCAAGGCTACGAATGTCTGACATAAAGCCGGCAGAGGTAAAAGAAAAAGTCAAGGCCTATCTCAGCCAGGAGAGTGCTGGGAAGTGGCTTTTTATTTTCGATAACGCAGATAATGTGGAGATGTGGGGCAAGGACAACACCAATAATCCAGTACTGACGGACTTTCTTCCTCAAAGTGAGCAGGGCCATATTCTCTTCACTACACGCAGCCGGAAGGTAGCTGTGAAACTAGTGTCTTCTTATGTTATGATAATCTCTGAGCCGGATACAGAGACTGCTGTCAAAATTTTACAAAACTCATTGGTTGAAAAAAACCTACTTAATGATCATGATATGGCTACTTCTCTTCTCGAGCAGCTAGCCTTTCTCCCGCTGGCGATTACCCAGGCGGCGGCATATATCAATGAAAATAGCATTGGCCTCTCTGACTATATTATACTTTTACAGAGCCAGGAGCCTGATGTGATTGAATTGCTGAGTGAAGACTTTGGGGATGAAAGGCGATACAAAGACACCCAGAATCCTGTTACGTTAACCTGGTTCATCTCATTTCAGCAAATTTACCAATTAAATAAACTCGCAGCGGAGTATCTATCATTTATGGCCTGTATCAATTCTCGTGATATTCCACAGTCCTTACTTCCCCAGGCAAGCTCAACTAAGAAGAGAATTGATGCCATCGGCCTTCTCAAGGCCTTCTCCTTTATTAGTGAGGATGGCGGGGACCGTTTTCTAAATATACACAGACTAGTCCATCTTGCAACTCGGAACTGGATAAGAAAGAACCAACAGTTTAGCCAGTGTATTTTGAAAACTGCAGACCGATTGAGCGAAGCTTTCCCGAACAATGATCATACCAACCGGAAAGTGTGGCGGAAATATTTACCGCACGCGTTTTCACTAATTGCAGAAGCTGACTTCCAGAAGGAGCGGGAGAAATACATTAATTTCATTGTGAATATTGGGAGATGTCTGTATAGTGATGGTCGATGGAAGGAAGCAGAAGAGCTGCAACTACAGGTAATAGAGCTCCGCAAGCAAGTGCTGGGGCCAGAGCATCCGTCCACTTTGACCAGTATGGGTAACATGGCAGCAATATACTGGGGCCAGGGACGATGGAAGAAAGCAGAAGAGCTGGAAATACAGGTAATAGAGCTCCGCAAGCAAGTGCTGGGGTCAGAGCATCCAGATACTCTGACCAGTATAGGTAATCTGGCATCAATATACTGGGGCCAGGGACAATGGAAGGAAGCAGAAGAGCTGGAAGTACAGGT